CAAGGGATAGATAGGGACTCTGGGGCAAGTGATTCTCTGTCTTCTTGGTGCTTGGGGGGGGGGTCAACAGTGGGAGGGCTTCTAATGTCCTGGCCCCACTGGTGGACTTCCTGATGGCACTGGTATTTCTGGCCACTGTGTGACACAGAGTGTTGGACTGGATGGGCCTTTGGCCTGATCCAACATTGCCGTCTCTTATGTTCTTATGACCGCGTGGGTGCTCATCGCAAAGAAACGCCGCTTTTGTTTGTGTGCCCCCAGTCTCTCCAGGCTTGCTTTTGAAGGGGATCTTCCCTTTTCTTTCAGGAACTGGGGCCCATCGAAGAGGTAGCTCTGGATTTTTCGGAGGAAGAGGAGCCTCCCTCGAATGGCGAGCGGAGGCCGGCTTACAGACCAGCCGGTCAGAATGCCGACAGTGAAGATGCCACCTCAGTGGGTAAGAATTCCTGGGTCTTATCCCAAGACATGCATGAGCGGCAGAGCCTCAGCTTCGCATGGAGAAGGTCTCAGGCTCAGTCCCCGGCATCTCCAGTTAAAAGGACCAGGCAGTAAGTGCTGTGAAGGACCTCTGCCTGAGACCCCGGAGAGCCGCTGCCAGTCTGAGTAGACAAGACTGACCTTGATGGACTGATGGTCTGATTCAGTATCAGGCAGCTTCATGCGTATTCATGTGTTCATGGGTGTCAGAAATCGGCAAGATCAGGAGAATCGCCTGACTGAAAGGATTGTGTTTTCTCTTTGGGAGATCCCCCAGAATCCCTTGCAGTGGTGTAGGGCCCTGTGGCTCGATTTCCGTTTCTCGGTGGGGAGGGCTCCTAGGGAAAAAGAGCCGAGCATGGCTCATGTTCCTCCAGGACACGCAGAGCGTAGATCTGCGAGAGCTGAGGCGAGATCCTTCGCAGCCCTGAGATGCTTGGTTGTGTCCAGAGAGACCTTGGAGCAAACTTGGACTTCTGCACATGAAGCTGACTTACATGGAATTAGACTAAAGGTCCCCAACCTTTTTGATCCTGTGGAATTCTGAGACTCACAGGTGGGCACAGCCACAAAATGGCTGCCACCAGAGCCACCCACAAAATGGCCGCCACAGGAGGTAAAGCCTCCCACAGAGGAAGCCCAAATGCAGAGGACAAGAGTCGTAATTTTTAAAATACACTGTGGAAGAGGAGGGTGTGAGAGAAGAGGAGGAGAGAAGAGGAGGGTGTGGTGACAGTAGCCACTAAAGCAATGTTAATTTAATCTGCACAGTCAATTAAAAAAAAACTGGTGTGCGGGAGCCCCCCTGACCCCACCACTTTCTAAAAACACTTGATGGGCACTAGGAAAGGGGCCAGTGGGGACCCGTGTTCCCTCTAAGCTGAGTTAGTGTGAGCGAGCTCACAGTTTTTTAGCCTCCAGCTCACACATTTTTGTCTTACCTCAGGAAAAGCAAACTAATTTATGCAGTAGCCAAATCGCTGGCTCACAGCTTTAATGCCAGTAACTCACAAAGTAGAATTTTTGCTCACAAGACTCCACAGCTTAGGGGGAGCATTGGTGGGGACCCCTGAGCCAGGCCTTGGACCAAGTAGCTGATGTGTCGTCTGCTCTGACTGGCCGGGGCTCTCCAGGGGCCCCACAAGGATCGGCACTGGGTCCGGTACTCCTTAATGTATTATTATTTATTTTTTTGTTTTTGGGATTTATATCCCGCCCCATCCAATATTCAGCTCGGGGCGGCTAACAGGCGGCCATGCCGCAATTAAAATATACATACAACTACATAGTAAAAAACAGATCAATGATCTGGAACTAGGGGTGAGTAGTGTAGTGTAGTGGCCAAGTTTGCAGATGCCACAAGGCTGCAGTGGGGCATCTCGGGGCCAGGCCCCCTGACTTATTGCCCAGGCCTCCCGACTCCCATCCAGCTGGTTTATTTTATTTTTCACACGCGCCACAGCCTTGCTGCCCTGAGCCATTGTCCTGCCATCGCTGCCAGTGTCCTTGCCCCCCCCATCACTTTTTAAAAAAACTTTTATTCTCTCATTACTCCTGACACAGCCTGGGTGTGTGTGTGGGGGGGTGCCCCCCAACTTATTTAGATGCCCCCTGAAGTAAAAGATCCTGGCTACGGCCCTGTAATGAAGCCTCTATGACCTGTTGTTGGCCCTCCCGAGGAACTGGCTGGCCACTGTGTGAGAGACAGGAGGCTGGACTAGATAAACTATTGGTCTGATCCATCAGGGCTCTTCCTATGTTCTTATGACTGAGGAGAACCTCCACCTTCAAAAGCCCTTAGCCTCTGAATCCCAGGAGCCAGGAGACAATATCAGGGGAAGGCCTCGGCCTCTCTGCCCTGTTGTTGGCCCTCCAGAGGAACTGGCTGGCCACTGTGTGAGAGACAGGAGGCTGGACTAGATGGACTATTGGTCTGATCCAGCAGGGCTCTTCCTATGTTCTTATGACTGAGGAGAACCTCCACCTTCAAAAGCCCTAAGCCTCTGAATCCCAGAGCCAGGAGGCAGCATCAGGGGAAGGCCTCGGCCTCTCTGCCCTGTTGTTGGCCCTTCGGGGGAACTGGCTGGCCACTGTGTGAGAGACAGGAGGCTGGACTAGATGGACTATTGGTCTGATCCAGCGGGGCTCTTCTTATGTTCTTAAGTGTTTAAATGTTCACTGCCTTGAGGGAACAGACGTTTTATTTAATTAATAAAAAATAAATCATTGTTTCCACAATGGGCGATGGCTCAGTGGTAGAACATGGCTACATTGGACTCAGAGGAGTATAACTCTGTTTGGGAGTTACTGCGATGAGGGAGGGGGCAGGGGTCCCGGAAGACAGAAGAGACGTCCCCCCACTGTGTGTTCCAGGAGGTGCCCGGGGGCGATGCCACGACTCCCGCATGCACAGCAGGCGCTAGGCAGCTTAGCATCAGAAACGAGCCCCGTTTTAACGTCTCCCCTTTCTTTCTTCCGGCAGATGACGATTGCCTGAGTGCCGACGAGGACGAGGTGTACCCTTTGGAAAGTCCAGATCCAGGCCGTCTAAACCAGGCTGCGAAGGGGAGGAGAGCGGAAAGGGAGGCTTCCTGCTTTCAGGAGCAGGATGACGGTCCAGAGGGCTGGGACCGAGCCGAGCGGAAGAGAGGGAGCGGCCCTCAAGAGAGGGCTGAAACCTCTGTCCTTTGGGAGGGCGACGAGCCCCTCGATGAGTCAAGGGGACAGAAGAAAATCCCGAGAGGGGGGGAAAACGAATCTGACAAGGTGGACGGCCTGCGCTTCAGGCAGAGGCCGGATGTGATTGAAGAGGGCAGTTCCGACGCAGACGAGAAGCCGCTGAAATGCTCCAACGGAGGGGGGGACTTTAAGGTGATCTCCCACTTTATGTCCCACAAAGGAGGAAGTAAGGCCCACAAGTGCCCGGACTGTGGGAAATCCTTTATCGCCAAAGCGCACCTCATCATCCATCAGAGAACCCACACTGGAGAGAAGCCCTTTAAATGCCTCGCCTGCGGGAAAACCTTCGCCCAGAGCTCCAACCTCACAGTCCATCAGAGGATCCACACGGGAGTGAAGCCGTTCCAGTGTTTGGATTGTGGGAAGAACTTCTGTTCCAGCACCAACCTGGTCAAGCATCAAAGCATCCATGTGAAAGAGGACCGGTACGAATGCACGGCCTGCGAGAAAAGCTTCAAGGCGCGCGCCCACTTCATCGCCCACAAGAGGATGCACGCCAGGAGGAAATCCCACAAATGTCCTGACTGCGGGAAGACCTTCCTCTTCAGGTCTCCTCTGATTATCCACCGCCGCATCCACACCGGGGAGAGACCGTACAAGTGCCTGGAGTGTGGCAAAAGCTTCAGCCAGAACGCTCACCTTAACGTCCATCAGAGAACCCACAAAAGAGTGAAATCGCTCCAGTGTTCTGACTGCGGAGAAAGCTTCCGTTCCAGCATGAGCCTCATCCAGCACCAGAGGATGCACGCGGGAGAAAGCCCGTATAAATGTTCAGAGTGTGGGAAGACCTTCCGAGTGAACGCTCACCTTATCGCCCATAAGAGGAGCCACTCGACAAAGAAACCACACAAGTGTTCGTACTGCGGGAAATCCTTCTTCACCAAGTCGTACCTCATCATCCATCAGAGAGTCCACACTGGAGAGAGACCTTTTAAATGCCTAGCCTGCGGGAAGAGCTTTAGCCAGAGTTCACACCTTAATGTCCATAAACGGACCCACACCGGTGTGAAGCCGTTCCAGTGCCCACAGTGTGGGAAGAACTTCAGTTCGAGCGCGAACCTCATGAAGCACCAGAGGACCCACACCAGTGAGGGCCTGTACATATGCTCCGACTGCGGGAAAAGTTTCCAGGTGCACGCGCATCTCATCGCTCACAAGAAAATACATGCCGGCAAGAGACCTTTCAAGTGCTTGAACTGTGGGAAAGCCTTCTTTACCAAATCAAACTTCCGCATCCACCAGAGAATCCACACCGGGGAGAGGCCTTACAAGTGCCTGGACTGCGGCAAAAGCTTCAGGCAGAGTTCGCACCTGACCGCCCACCAGAAAACTCACATGGGAAAGAAGTTCCACTGCCCGGACTGTGGGAAAAGCTTCCGGTTCAACTCCCACCTCCTTGCCCACCGGAGGATCCACAAGGACAAGAAACCCCACAAATGCTCGTACTGTCACAAGGCCTTCGTTTTCAAGTCCTACCTGGTCATCCACGAGCGGATGCACACGGGGGAGAGGCCGTTCAAATGCCTGGCTTGCGGCAAAGGCTTCAGCCAGAGTTCGCACCTGAACGTCCACAAAAGAACCCACGTGGGGAAGAAGCCATTCCAGCGTCCCGGACGTGGCAAAGGTTTTAGAGTGAGCGCTCAACTTCTGGCCCGCAAGAAAATCAACACGGTCAAGAAACCGCACAATAAATGCTCAGAGTGTGGGAAATCGTTCATTTACAAATCGTACCTGATTATCCACCAGAGAACCCACACGGGCGAGAAACCTTACAAGTGTTTGGCTTGCGGGAAGTGCTTCAGCCAGAGCTCACATCTGAACGTCCACCAGCGAACCCACAGAGGAGTAAAGCCATTCCGGTGTCCCACCTGCGGGGAGAGCTTCAGTTCCAGCGTCAAGCTGCTCAAGCACCAGAGTATCCACACGAAAGAGAACCCATTCGATTGCTCAGACTGCGGGAGGTCCTTTGTGTGCCCGTCGCAGCTCGCGATCCATCGGCGAAGCCACACTGGGGAGAGGCCATTCAAGTGCTTGGACTGTGGGAAGGGATTTAGCCAGAGTTCCAACCTGATACGGCATCAGCGCATCCACTCTGGAGAGAACCCCCCTTATAAATGCTTGAACTGCAGTAAAGTCTTCTCTTCGGAAGAGAATCTCATTAAGCACCAGAGACTCCACACATAGCAGGAGGAGGCCACACAGATTTTGCATTGCCGGAAAGCCATCTGAATGCGCGGTGTTTTACTACCGGTCCCATTTTCTTAGCTGTTACGAAAAACAAAGATGTGGTCGGTGCCACGCTGCTGCTCGGTGTCCAGAAAACTTTGGCAGTGAACTCAAGACCCGTCGCTTCTCCAAGAATCTGTAGGGGAAGCAGCCCCAGGTAAAATGGTTAGGCTGCAGGGGAACTTTCCCTGGAGGCCACACCACGTGATTTTCTGCGTGTTGATCATCAGATCTTTGAACCAGCAAGCGCATCTTGAATCTGGGACCCCAGGGAGAAGTCTGGCTGGCTCAATGCACCGATCACCCAGTTCTGGCTGAAAGAAGGAACTTCAGCCCAAAAGAGCTTCTTTTTTAAAAAACTTTTTGTTACATTTTCAACATGGAACCAAAAGAGTTTCTTAGCAGCTATAGGCCAGTTTTGATCAGATGGTACTTCCCGATTTCTGTATTAAAATAAACTTCCGGGTCAAACTTGCTTAGTGGTTTGAATTGCAAGGGAACTCGGCTGCTTTGCTCTCGGGGAGATGCCTCGGTCTCGTACCACCTCCTCCACTCTCGCCCCCAGCTAAACAAAGAGCTGATTCCCAGACCTCTAAAGAACCAGGATTCTAGCAGAACTGTCCAGGAGAAATGAAAAGGCCATGCAGAAGGGGGTGGGGGGGGGGGGGGCGGGGGAGACACACATCAGCGAAGCCATATAAACTCTCCAAGGGTAGGTAAAACTTCCACGGAAGCTCCAGCTTTAGAAAATGTCTGAGAATCTTGCTCTCCCCTAGTGAATCCATTCCGGCATTCTGTCTATTAGCTAGCAGAAAATCCACGTCGAGGAGGACCCACGTGTGAATGAAGTGAAAACGATACCCATTAGGTGAAGAGGAAACGAAACAAGTCAGCTGACCAGTGCAGGGCTTCTAAGGAAGTCATAAAGTCCCTTTTAATCTGCTGTATAATCTTTTTTTTTTTTTTAATTGTGGTATACAGTGTTCTGTTGGCCTTCTGTCAATCTAGCTACACCCACTTGTGTCTTCTGCGGCTCAGAAGATATTGCCAGGAACAAATTACAGGTAGGCTGATTGTCTTAACAACTACGCTCCAAAGGACTGAAGCGACATTGCAAATCTATTTCCCATGTTCTCTACGGGGTGGGGTAGGGGGACGGAACGCAGACATCTTTCCATTTCTGTGGATGCTTTCTCCGTCTTCAGAATCTCGGCACTTAGATTCTCAGCACTGAGATAAGCAAAGCTGACCTTGACGAAGAAATGCAGAAGCAAGAATATTAATCTAGACTGGGGGGGGGGGGCGGGGGGGTTTGTTAGCCTTTCTTAGTTCTTTCCCCATGGGGATTGCGGTAGATAACAGCTACTGACCGGAAATCAAGAAAGGGCGCGATGGATCCTGCTGAGCCAGTATTAGCTCGCAGTTTTCTCAAAGGACAATTTGTTCACTACCCATATAACGGACAGCAGCAGTACCCTCCCAGAGGGGGAGAGGCAGGGAAACCTTGTGGCACATGGATTATTGCTGATATTATATTTTAAAATTTGGTCCAGTTTAAGGAGAGCCCTGCTGGATCAGACCAGTAGTCCAGCATCCTGTCTCACACTGCAGCCTATCAGTTCCTCTGGATGGCCAACAACAGGACAGAGAGGCCGAGACCTTCCCCTGAGGTTGCCTCCTGGCTCTGGGATTCAGAGGATTAGTGCTTTTGAATGTGGAGGGTTCCCCTCAGCCACCATGGCTAGTAGCCACTGATAGACTTTTCTCCCCCCATGAATCTGTCTAATCCCCCTTTAAAGCTCTATTCCTGTGGCCATCACTACGTCTTTTGCCAGCGAATTCCACATTTTAATTTCTCTGTGTGAAGTAATATTTCCTTTTGTCCGTCTTGCACCTACTGAAATCTTTGAGCCTGCAGCCTCATGGAAGGTGTTCCGTGCTTTTCAAAAGGGCCAGGCAGGGGGAAGGATTCGAAACATTCCTGGGTGTGATGTCACGAGCACTCCGTCCAATAAGGAGCCAGTGACCGTTCTGTAAGCTCCACTCCCACAACAAAGCATGGTCTCTCTCGCTAGCTTCAGAACTTCTATCTCTCCCCCACCCCAGTAAATTCACAAAGGCACTGTTTTGTTGTTGTGGACATCACCTGGGCTTCGGATACCATCCCCTGCCGTGTGCCGAAGATAACTCTGAAAGGCTGAGATTTTGCGAACTTGGCAACCACTTTCGGAGGGGAGCGTAACCGTCCTATCTCAAACCACTCTGGAGTTTCGTCCATAAACTCACGTTTTAATCCCCTGGCAAATGGAATAATGTGCTTGTCTCCGAAAGTCCCTCGGTCCAAAATGGGAAGCGAACCGACGTCGACACTCAGCGTTCTCCTCTGGCTCCAGGACCAGAGCTCCATATGTCCCATTTGACTTTGATCTGCCTCCATATCATGTAACAAGCTTTTTTTGGGGGTGGGGGATCATGTCCAAAGACATCTCTCATTGAATGTCAACGGGGAAGGGGCTGTGTTTGCCTTTCCAGCCTGCGGTCCACTTCCGCTTCTCGGTTACCACTTCTCCAGTTTGTGATTTCTACCCCTAGGACCTCACACACACACACACCCCAATTCGTTTCCTATGAACTCTGTTATGGGACTTATGTCATTACCTCCGTTTCTTGAAAGAAATCTGTTATGTTTTCTGTACTGCCTTTCCTTTGTTCTCAGACCCTGGCAAAGCATTGTAATGGTTTGCTTTTTATAGATGTTAGCATATTCTTTTCCCTCTCGTTTTTATTTCGGTCCTGATCTGAAATTATACCGTTACTGATGTTCGGATGACGCCTCGTGTTTGGTGCAATGCGACCTTGCTGCTGCTACTGCACTGGGAGACAGCTTTTAATATATTTAATCGATTGGCAATTACTTTGGGACCCCAGAAGAAGAAGTGACTTGCAATGCCAGAGTTGTACCCTTCAAAGCTTATTGACCTCAGGGATCTTGTTGATGGTCTCCCACTCAAATACTAACCAGGGCTGATACCACTAAGCTTCCAGAGATGAGGATAGCCCAGCCAGGTCAGTTGTCTTAGGTGGGTGGAACTCTGCTTAAGATGGCCCCGTTAAAATTTCATGCAAGCTAAATTGTGCTGGGCCTATCAGGCTGACAAGGTAGCCTAGTGTTAGGGGTCACAGTTCTGCACTCTTGAGTGTGTAGCATTCCATGCAAACCCACATTTTAGTTTCTCTTTCTTTTTTTAAGAAAAAAAGATAATCCAACACGAAAGCCATTTGAAATCAACCGCTGGACTAGAAGTCTTTAAAAAGAGATTTGACAAAGGCAGCGAGAGGATGGGTCTGTCAATGGAAGGCGCTAAATGAAGCTCCCGTGTTTAAAGGCAGCATACCTGTACAGCACTAATTGTCTCTCTGAAGCGTTTAGCTGGACTAGATCAGCCCAGTTTGATTCAGCAAGGCAGTTACCATAACAAAGGGTTAAATAGATTTGTTATATACATGACAACAGCTGTTAACCAGGCATGCTAAGAATGGAACCTCCATGGACAGAGGTATCTCTCTGAATACCAAATGCCCAGTTTCTGGGCTTTTCCCAGGCATCTGGCTGACCTCTGTTGGAAACAGGATACTAGGGCCTTCCCCACACAGGTTATTTGCCCTGGGTTTCATGCTTCTGGGAAGGTTTTTCGTTTGGTTGGTTGTTGTTTTGCTACGTGGTGCATTTGTCTACCTCCCAGGGTTCCCCTGATTTTTCTCTGATCTTTTCCAAACCTGCTTTACTGTGAAGTTTTAGGAAAGATCTCAACAAAGCCTGGATAGCTGCCATGTGAGCAGGAAAATCCCACCCACATTTTCCCCTCCCCACGATGCCCATTTCCCCCACCACTGGGGAGCTTTTTTTTAATTAGCCATTAAACATTGTATAGCAATCTGTGTATCAGATTCTCTGAATTCCCAGATTTTACTTTTGAAAAAATTAACTATTCTTTTTCATTGTGGAGATATAAGGGGAAAGGCAAAGCTTTGTAACAACAGGGGCTAGAGAGTTACTTTTAAAAAAAATGAAAGGTGGGAATTCAGAGAACCTGATACGCAGATGTTTTAACAATAGTCAATTGCTGCTTAAAAAAACAAAACAACAATAACTGGTAATGTGAGGCTGAGTGTGATTAGGCGCTTGTAGGCTGTGCTTCGATGTGGAGGAGCATTGTTTTAGTTGTTTTCAGTTGACTTTAGCTTTTGTTTTGGATAGTTCTGTTCTTATTTTGCTTCCGACTCTTTCCTCCTCTCTATGTTAAAGTAGGGAAACTCTCTCTTTTCCTTTTATCAGTGAGAAGCAAAAGCGCTCTCCACAGTTTTACTTCTGGCTCTCTCTGTGTGTAGCTGTACACACAGTGTGGAGGAGTCTTTTTTCCCTCGACAGATTAAAGGTGCTGCTGCAGCTGTTCGTTTTTTGTATGTTGATAGGGCTCCGATCCTTCGGATAGTGTATGGCTTTAGATTTAGAGCTTGCTGTAGAAGCCCCCCTCCCCTCTATTCTCCTTTTGGAAGGATGTGATAGGGTGTGGCATAGGGTTGCCAGGTCCTTACCATGTTCTGGTGGGGGGCTCCAGTCTTCTTGAGTCTTCTGGCGCATGTGCCACATCACCCAGAGGTGATGGCATCACAACAGGGTATGTCAAGCGGGGGACACTCTAGCATTTTTTTTGGGGGGGACTCTATGGTTACCATAGAGTTTCCCCCCAAATGCTAGAGCATCACCTGTGTGACATGCCCTGCACAATGACATCACCTCCGGGTGATGTTATCACATCAGGCACAGGTGGGACTGCTCAGGGGCAGGGCTCCCCTGCTGGCAAGCTGGGTGGCGGTGGATTGGGCCCCCGAAAGTGGGGAAACCCCGCCCCCATCGTGAGGATAGCAACCCTAGTGTGGTAGAGTGGTGGCGAGAAGCCTGAGAAGCCCAGGTGGAGAAGGGGATAAGCGGAGTTTGAGGGAACTTATTTACTTTCTTTTCTTTTTGTTTGGTAAACAAATTGACCTTGTGCTGTTTAACCTTTATCATCCTTTTAAGGCCATATCGGTTTGGGCTCTTAAGATTTTAGAGATTTGCCTTAGGCCCCATTAGCTTACGGGTTAAGTGAATGAAAACGGAGTTTTGCCTTAGGTCTTTTAGACGTTTGAAAACTGGTTCGCGTTTTTAGTATAATAAAAAATTACTGAAACTTAAATACTTTTAAATTGATTTCAGCTATATATCTAGACAAACTGACAAAGCGTTACTCGATTAAGTGATATATACAGTTATGGGAAGGGAAAGGGTGCCAACCTACCCCCCTCTAAGCAGAGCAGGACGGAGGAGTTTTTAACTATAAAAATGTCTAATAGGTCTCCTTCCCTCTCGATCAGGGACGTGATCCTTCCAAGTCCCTTAAACATTTCCTCAGATCCTCCCTTGGGAACTCCATCCCACATAGCTATTATAGATGAGCTTTTCTTTTTTTTGGGGGGGGGGCGGAATAAGAAATGGAAAAAAGCCACAAATAGATCTGGAAATGCTGGCAAATCCGACGTTTTTAATATTAAATACCTTCGGGGATATCTTTGAGAAATCAGATCTATTGACAGA